AATAGGATGAGCAGAAAATCTAAGGAAAAGGACAAATTAATTAGGCTTTTAAAGGATTTTCTTCCATGGCGTGACCCAGAGGGAGACAAGGAACCTGATATTTGTCTAAAGGCAGCCGCTGCTGAGTCAGCAGAGACTGAGCTCGGCCATGGGGGAGGGTCTGACTCTGTTCTGCGAACTCTGTGACACTGAGCACGGAAGCGATGGCAAGATGGCATGCACTGGCCACACAGAAAGGAGGACTCCTTTGTGTCGCGAGGCCCATCCTGACTGCAAAAGCCTTTCTCTATAATTAAGATACGCCACATGCTCTAGGCCCTACTGGCAACATTTCTTAAGTGTAAATGAAGTCTCAATTTTTTTGTTGCTTAATTACTGGAAAAAGTACCAACGAAAATGAAGTTCCACTGATTACTTTGGCTTTCAGCTTCACTAACAGGCCACAGTAGGCTAATTGGGGCTGCAGAGCACTGCCCGGCGACGGTGATGGAGCCAGTTCCCAGGAGCACCCGCCAGCCAGCCGCTATCAGGTTATTTTCTGTTCCCATTGTTAAACCTCAACTGGACATTTCACAAACGGTGGGAACCAGTTTCCTTGCCAACCTCAAGACACCTGAAGAACTCTCCACAATTGCAGGCCCAAAGGCAGTCCAAGTTCCACACAGAGGGCTTCTAACGTGTATACAAGGAGACTCTGGCAGGCTTAGAAACACACTGAGAAGGGCTGCGTCGTAGGCCGTTAATTTTGTAGCACCATGTCCTATTGAAAGATCTTTTGATGTGTCCTTACAAGGCAAAAGCGAGGCTCCAACAAGGAGCAAGCATCCATGGGGATCCAAGGTCCTTAGCAAGGTGGTACGGTGTCCTACGGTCTGGTCTCAACCCCTTTTCCCAACCTCTTCTCCACTCATTCTGGTCCATGTATGTTCCAGGGGAAGGGAGCCCTGTGCACGCCTGCGTCAGGCTTCCCTGCCATAGTGTCTGCTGTCGCCTTCCTTATCTTCCTACTGAACTCTTACTCACCCCATAAAGCCTGATTTTAAAGATTTTTAAGGATTTTCCCTTATCCTGAAAATTCACCAATGAACTGTCATTCCTCTCGGGGAAGATACCCAAATCTTCTCCATGGCTCTGAAAGCTGCCTGATTGGATTTCTGCCTACATCACAAGCCCCATCTTCCATTACTTGTCTTCTGACCCACTATTTTCCAGCTTCACGGACCTTCTTTCTAACTTATAGATGGACCTGGTTGGACAAGGTCTGTGTGTGAGGGTTAGTCTTGGGGAAGCGGAGAGGAGTCAGGGCACACAAGGAACCATGGGGAAGCTGGAATCACAGAAGCCAGAGGGGACCAAGGTCGTCAGCTTTTGGGCAAGTGGCATTTCTTAGCACTCTGCTCAACAGCTGACCCAAATCCAGACTCTGGCATCTGAGTTCATAATATTTGTCATTTGGTAATAAGGCCACACACACATACTGACCCCATAAAGAATAAGCAATGAGGATAGAGCTATCTTCTGAAAGGTCTTGCAGACTGTCTCCCATGTTGGATTTAGGTGTAAGGGGCAGAGAAGGGGGTGGGGGAGGGGACCAGCAGATGTTTTCAAACTTACACATTCATTGAACTGAAACACGCCAAGCACACTCCACGTGCCCAGCACCTAATCCTCATGACAATCCTGTGAGGTAAATATTACTCTAGTTTTGTGGATAAGCAAGAAGGAGCTCAGGAAAGTTAGGGATTCTGCCGGGTCCACACAGTCAGTAAGTGGCAGGGCTGGGATCTGACTCAAACTCCAAAACCCTAAATGCTTTTTCCCTGTTCTGTGAAGGGTCACTTCAGGGGGTATACAGCAGGAGATTCGCAAAGGACACGCAGAGTTCCTGTGGGTTTTGATTCCAGAGTGTTCAGATGTCTCAGAAGGGAAAGGGTTTATAGCATTTGTATCAATATACATCAACTCTGGTTTTTCCCAAACACGTAATTACTCAACAAAATGATTAACAGCAGGGGCAACGAGCCACAGTGAAAAGAGAACAGGCTTTGATGACTTGGGGTCGGGCAGATTTGGCCAGGTGACTTTGGGTAAGCTACTTCAGCTCTCAGAGCCTTGGCTTCCCTCATCTACAAGTCAGGACCAGTAATACTTTCTCACAGGACTGTAAACACCTCATCTACATAAGGGGCTTCCTTGCAACACTGCCTCTAAATGTTTCCACCAGGAAATGATCTAAAGCACTTCCACTCACATTTAATTGGCTAAAGCAAGTCACATGACCCCACCTAACTCCAACAAAGCACGGTTCTAGCATCTATCTGGGGAGAGGACAGAAATACTCAGTGAACATCCTAGTGGTCATTCTTTCTCTTACATCTTTGAAAATAAATGTATACTTTAGTTTAATGTTTGAAAAGCATTTTTGTAGAATAGCTTTCAAATAAATACTAGTCAGATATAGTATTAGAGCTATTATTTATGGACTGACAATGCCCTCTTCAGATGTGGCTAGGAGGACACTGGAGAAAGAAACGCCTCCTAGAGAATGGAGTCAAGGTCCACAAAGACACCCGCCACCCTAGGAGAGGGGCCTTACAGCATCAGGCCAGAGGGATTTCAAAATTGCTATGGACCAAAGACTGCTGTATTTCTCAAATTCTTCCTCTTTCTCAGTGGAAGCGTTTTTTGGTTATTCTGTCTCATTCCACTGTTGCATAGTATGTGTGTGTGTGTGTGTGTGTGTGTGTGTATAGGAGATGATGGTTGTGGTGGTAGCAAATAATTTTTCCTATTAGTGTAGAAGTCTCCAGATCAAGTGGAGCCACATCTGGGTCTGATATAGAGCCTCCTGTGCATCTCATCCTGATGAAGACATCGCCAGGAATCACTCAGAGAGCCTGGATATTGAGCTTGGAGGCGGTAACAGGTGGGTGGTCTCATTTAGGGAAGGGCAGGTATATTTTTCAAGTGGGAAGGACAGCCAAACAAATGTCTGTTGACTAAGTGGAGACACTGTGGTGTTCATCAATATTGTTCATAAAATATTTCCAGTTTTTCCCCAGACACATTACAGATTTCACTTCCCTGCTCTGGGAGTTAGGTGTGGCCATATGAATAAATGTGGGTATAGATGATTGGTGTCACTCGTAGGTAGGAGCTTTAAGCATGTGCACCATTCATCATGCTTTCTTTCCTTCTTCCTCAGTACCCAGCAATGTGGTTGCTCTGTCTGCCTGGGTCCCAGACTGAGGAAAAAGCAGAGAAGAGCTCCCATTGATTTGCAGTAAATAGGACGTGGGAATTATTTTAAGTGAGAATTGGGGTTTGCCTGTCACTGCAGCACAACCTAGCCTATTCTAACTGATTCAAAGAGATCATCTTAATTCTTTTAAAAGTCACTTTTTACTTTTGTGGGACTGTTTCCCTACCCAGTGGGCATGCAACTGGGCAGCAGTGGCCTTGTAGAGTTGGGGGCAGGTTTCCATTGCGGGTTGGGGTGACCGGCATCCAGATGTGGCCTCTGAGGGCCTCTTGGGAAGAGTCACAGGAAGGTTCATGGTCAGAACATGACTAGGCCCTCCTATCTTATGCGCAGCATCCAGGTTATGTTCCAAAATATCCACAGACTGGCTGTGTTGTCCGGCTGGGGCACTGAGCCACATGAGAGAGCCACGACTCTAGCACAGCTGTGTCCAGTGACTATTCCTGTGCAACCTCTGAATCAGTGCCTTGCTATACTAATTAGTTTCATGGGCTCTTGCCACATGACACAGGCTCCCTTTCCTGACATCCTGGGGATTTCTGCAATACTGGTGAAGGTCTCATCGAGTTCTATTGAAATATTTAATGAACTTTTTACTCTCATATGACATATGTCAGATGCCAGGTAGGTGACCTCAGCTCAAAAATACATCCCCTTCCCTTGCCTCATTCATGCTTTATTTCCTTCCTGGGTTTTTTTATCCCTAGTGCTCCCAGAGCTGCACTATGTGCACTTCTTTCCATCTTCTCTTGCATGGAGCTGCCCAGAACCCACTCTTTGTCCTAACCTGGAGGGGCCTATGTCACTCCTAGTTCACTCTTTGGTCAGCTGGTCCTCTGAAGGCATATTCTTATACCCTAGCCCACCTCTCCCCACCGCCCCCATGGTGAATGGTCAAAGTCACAAATATTAGTAACTTTCAACATAATGTTGGGTCATCTCAAAGTACAAGTCTGCTTATTTGGGGAGCATTTTTCTTCCCCTCTGCTCTTTCACTGGCACCTCAAAGACTCCAGCCTTTAAGGGAGCAAAAACAGACTCCAGCAGTCCTGTGTGAGAGACAGAAAGGCTGCATGCATGCTTGGAGAGCTGGATTTCCTGCTTCCAAAAAAGAGAGGAGCCTGGGTTTGGGGACTGGAGGAGAGGCAGCAGCTAAGGAAGTGAGGAGGGAGCAGAGACCTTGGAGGGGGAAGGCAACAAGGGGCCTCTGTCCTCAGTGAGCAGGAAGGGGCTCAGAGCTGAGCCGAACTTCAGAGTGGCCTCCCGTGGCCTCACCCCTGTGGACAATCCACCCCCACTGCCCTGCATATTTCTGAGTTCCCTGAACCGAGGTTCAGGGGCTTGGACATCTTGTATGGGGAGAAAGGGAGATCTTTGGCTCCTGTTCAACGTAGCACTCAACAGAGTCAACTGACAATTTTGATACAAGATTCTACATTCAGGCCCAGTTTGAAACCAGATAAGGTTCTAGAATGATACAAGGCATTAGCGAATCAGATGCAACCATAAACTGCTCATGGCCATCTAAAATCAAAATCTGGTCTCAAGCTAAGAGCTTTATTATTCCACAAGTTTAGTGTGGGGATTAATCCTTATTTTTCTAAGTCCTCTTTTATTAGTAAGGGATAGTAAATTTTCCTGGCTAATTCTCATACTACTTGATTTTCCCTTTTCTCTATTAGTACTTTTATGGACAGTACACAGATGGGCCAGGGGGAAAGGCTCGACTTAGGGTTACCTTGCCAACAAGCGCCGACTGTAAGTTGCATGGCTATGTGAGATGGATGAATGGGCCAATCGTTGGTCACCAGGTATGGTTCATACGTTGCTCCATCCATGTATAAAGTAACCACAGGAAACTCCACATTGATGACATAGTAATGCCACTCTTTGTCACAAATCTAATGAAAAGAAAGAGAAGCAATACTTACAATTGAATACGCAATACAACATCAAACAAGCTTTCACTCTAATTATGAAAGGGTGAGAAGGCATTTTTGGGTCAACAATTTTTTACTGCAAAGAACTCAATAAACATACTGGTTGATATGCACTGTGATTATAGAAGCTCATGACAAACATAATGGAGCAAGCCATAGGGTAGAGGAACACCTGAGAATTCAATCATCAGGCAAATAGTTGACTACGGGGAGATTATCTTGCGCATGTAACTACCAGCTGTCTAGTTCTTGGTGGACAGGTGGGGGTGTCAGCTTAAATTTGCTTTGTATGAAATTTTTCTTAGTTCTTCAGTAGAGGAAAAAGTTAAATTGAAATTGTTTTTCTAAGTTTTGTGATAGGTGGAGTTATAAAAAGAAAGGTGCTAGACAGAAAGGTAGAAATAAAAATGAAGATACAGAAGGGGAGGAGGAAGGGAGAGAGAAAGAAGAAAACAGAAGAGGAAAGAATTAGAGTTAGAAAAGAGTAAGAGAGAAGGCAATGAACAGGGTAAGAGGAGGAAGGATGAGATGCAGAAGAACAGATAATTCCTCTGCCTCTATTTGAAGGCTTGCCCCCTGGGGAGCTGTCGTAATCTCACGTCCCCTTCAACTCAAGCAAAATACATTCTGAGAGAGACAGTCTTCCCAAGGGGACTCAGCTGCATCCTATCTGGGAGTACCTGGGGAGGCAGAGAAGGACCGCGAATGGTCCTCCTGGCCAGGAGTCCATGCAGAGCACACTCTTACATTTGTGTCCCCTCATCTTTTGTAACTAAGACTCCTGGTCTTAGGACTGGGAACCAAAACCTAACTTTAATGGATAGGTAGAGACATTGGGGGCTAGGATAGAGTCACAATTCCTGACCCCAAGAGACTGAACTCCTACAGCAGGATCCAAAATAGAAACCAAGACTGGCACATCTTGGGAAGGGAGATAGGAAGCGTAAAAGATGGCCAGGTTGCAGAATGGTGCTCCCCTCCCTCTGATCCCCTAAGCGAGTGCCGTGGGAGTCACACTAGACTCTCTCTCCCCCACACTCTCTCTCCCTCTAATGCCTCTGCACCCTGTGGAGTCCACCTCTGAAATGTCTCTCATCTGTGTCCTCTAGTCTACGTTGCCCCTGCCATTTGTGGCAGCAGAGACAGATGAGTTCTGCATGAAGATGGCCCCAATGTGAGGGCATCAAAGCCCTCCCGACATCCCACTCTGGATTAAATGTGCTGTTTCTCATGAATAGATAACACCAACAGGGATGCTAAATGATCTTTTCCCTTTCATTTTGGAAAATAGATTTTTTTCTTGATGTTCTTTTTATATTGTCCTATCTCATGTTTCAGAAAATTTCTCCTTTTGAAGCCCATTAGCCTGATAAAGGCTGGTGAATTTTTTAGGGGTCCTGGGAAGGTAGTCAGGAGGGATCCAGGCAGATGTCTCCAAAATCCTGTTACACTCCACTGAGTGTACAGCTCAGTACCTGTTACACGTCACTAGAGGTCCTAACCCTGTTTACACTCCCCTTCTGCTCGATGCCTGAGACCAGACGTTGGGCAGGGTGCAGGGCTCCTGGGTTAGGCCTGGGACTGGGGTGGGGCCGACTAAGGGGCATAGGAGGGACATGAAGGAAGACCTAGAGAGAGAGCCTAGGGGTGATGGAAGAGTGGGGACCATGGGGAGTATTTGAATGAGGAAGCATCCAATCCAGGGAAGCCCAATGCACCCTGGACTGATTGTTTGCCATCAAGGATAGCCAGCCAGCAGGACCTGGAGTATGGTTCACATCCTGGGGATGTTCTTTGAGGCATTGGGAAACCTCTGGCCAGGCCCAGGATGGGACGCGAGTGGGTGGCAGTGCCGTGACCCTGACTACACCCCGTGCCCTGTGACATGGAGGCAGAACATCAGAGTTAACCAGGCAGCACGGGGGGCTCCCCTGTCTAGGCTGCCATGTTGAACCCATGTGCCACTGACTCTACAGCACTCCACACCTGCCCAAGCTGGGCAGAGGATGATCCTCTGGCTCGCTTTCTTTCATAATGTTTACAGCATTTTTGTAGGACAACACAATAAAATTCCAAGGAGGAAATAAAACAATTCCATAACGCACAGCGGCGGCGACCCCTCTCATCTTACGGTCTTCCCCTAGGCGTTTTCCGAAGTGAGCTCCAGTGCACAGCAGTCCTCATGATGCCCCACAGAAAACCGTGACCCTGTACAGCAAGCCTCGCTTTCTTGGATTTTCCGTGTTATTAGCATATCCAAGGCTCCCAGCGAGCCTCAAAGTTGATGCCTGTAATAACTTCCCAACCTTGCTGAAAAACAGAACTTTCTATTTATAGCATTCTTATAAACATCTTGTGAAACAACAGTTGGGCAAGGTCTATTTGGATCACACCATATATAAAATTTGAAAGTTTGCTGGTTTTGCTTAACATCAGCATTAAAATGTCTTAACCAACTTTACTTTAGATGGCTGTATAATCAGGATGTACTCTACTATACTAAAATATTCCTGGATCATCAGGTATTAATTATGTATCAGCAATTATAAATGATGCTCTAATGAATTCCTTTGTGCATAAATATTCGTCCGCATCTCCGATTATATCCTTGGGAAAGATTCCTGGAAACGGAATTACTGAGCCAAAGGCTGGAGGTATTTTGAAGGCTCTTGACACATATTGTCAATTTTCTTTCTGCAAAAGGTTGTGTCTATTTATACTCCTGCCCGCAGAGTATGAGAATACTCGTGCATTATACCCTTACCACGTTGAGTATTTAAAAAACAGAAATTCCTGGCAATTTGAAAGGGATATATTTTATCTCACTTTAATATGAGTCACAAATGATAGCAAGATTTACATTCTCCGAGGTCAGAAGGGAGGACCTTCCGGGATGGGGGAGCAGCCTGGGCTAAGACTCGGAGGCAGGAACGATTGGGAGCACTCCAGCCAGCTCCTACGTGAGCATCCAAACAGGCAGCTGGCTCAGACAAGGCTTTGCCTGCAGACTTCCCACACCAAGCCATCTACGAAGGTAGCTAGAGGAAGCGCCTAATTAGGGCTTCATAAATGTGGATCTATGATCACGAAGAACCCGCATTAACCCTCTGCTAGAACTGCAGGGACAGAGTGTAATTGAAAAATGATCAAGCCAGGAGGAAGCACAAATAAATGTGTCAATGCACAGCTCAACCACAAAAGAAGGAAATTAGGCAAAGTGACCTTTCCTGGGAGGAGAGAAGAACTTGAATTCCCGACTGTTCATGAATCACTAGTGAACGCAGCCGGCACCATGCAAGTCCAGTGCCATCTCCTGAGATGATGCCCAAGGCCTCAGCTGGACCAAAGGCACTTTGCTCTCTGAAAACCTGCAGGTGTGTCCCCCAGGTAGGCGGCTGCAGCTGCTGTTAGCTGGTGAGTGAATCAGACACCAGAGACCCAGGGACAAATGTCAAGGAAGGGTAGTAGGGACAATACCAAAGGAGGTCTGAGTTGGGAATAGACTAGTACTCCAGGGTGAGTCGGGGCCCAGGAAGCCCCCTGTGAGAGGGGAGGAGATCAGGCTGTTGATGGGTAGGTCCAAATGTCCTAGAAAAGGCCACCCTAGAAATTCCACGTTGGTTTCCCCAGTAAATCATTTTTGAATGCAGCTATTGAACATGAGATACATTTGCCTATCAACGACTCCCTGCTGGGGCGCGTGCTGAGGGCTGCGCAGGATGCAGCACTTATCAGATCTGTGTTCTGCCTTCAAGATGTTCAGTCTAATCGTGGGGGAGGGCCGCGACAAGTACACAAAAGACTCGAATGTAATGGGAATTGAGATCAGTGTCATGCACCACGGGCAAAGCACTGTGGGACCCCAGGGGATGAAGAGATGACTTCTGGTGGGAAGAGGGTAGTATTTAGCATGGATATTAAAGGACTGTTAAGATTTCATTAGGAATAGACGGCAAGGAAAAATTCCAGGCAAATGGAGCAGAAACCTCTTATTCTTTTATTCATCCCTTTGTCTTTTCTTTTTTTCCTCTTCCTTCCTTTCCTTTCTTCCTTCTTTCCTTCCTTTCTCCCTCCCTCCCTTCCTTTCCTTCTTTCTTTCTTTCTTCTTCTCCCCAAAGCCCCCCAGTACATAGTTGTATATTCTAGTTGCAGGTCCTTCTGGTTCTGCTACGTGGGATGCCGCCTCAGCGTGGCTTGACGAGCAGTGCTAGGTCTGCACCCAGGATCCGAATGGGCGAAGCCCTGGGCTGCCAAAGGGGAGCGCACGAGCTTAAACACTTGGCCATGGGGTCAGCCCCTTCCTTTGTTTTTTCTATTGCCAAAAAAGATGCAGGTTTGAGGCATGTGGAGATTCACTCATTCATTCATTCCTGCAGACATTTACTGCAAGCGCATCCTGCTTTGTCAAAAAAAGAGAGCACCTGCCTTTATGGAGCTTCCAGTCCAGCCACAGAATTGACAAAAAGGGCTTATAACAGATGTGACTCGCGCCCCACAGGTTTGTGCAGGGTGCCAGGTTAACCCTGTGAGGGAGCGGGGGTCTGACTGCACTGAGAGGAGGGAAGGAGCAAAGACACAGAGCTTGGGGGGGTGGGGTTGGTTTGGGAAGGTGAGGAGTGGGAGTAGAGATGCAAGGATGGATTCGGAACTGAGGCCCGAGGACGTGGACTGCTTCTATTCTGTAGGCAACAGGAGGTCTGGGGGTTTTGAGTGGGAGGAGGAGGATGGTAGTCATAACAACAATTAATCTTGGAACATGCTTTTCAATTTTAAGGCAGCTTTTCCTATTCCTTATACCATTTAATCCTCGCTCCAGCCCTATAACGTAGGAGGGCTAGTGCTCTCTTAGGCATCTTTAGAAAAGAAAAAGAAAGAAATGGCATGGTTTCTAATCTCAAGGAGTTTGTATTGGGAGTTAGATGTAACACACAGCCCACTGTGTGTCACACACACCCTGTGTG